GGGTGAATCCAGCTGGCTTCATTTCTAGGAGTCACTGCTCCTTGCAGGTGGGGCCGTGTATCCAATGGAGCATCCCCTTGGAGCGTAAGAGTGTGGGGCGGGTGTGAGATGGAGGGACAGGATTCTGGAGACCCAGACACGCCGCTGAGGCATTGGCCAGGCCTCCCTGGAGGCCCTTCTCTGAAAAGAAGATGGTGGGTAGGGAAGAAGGACGTGAGCCCTCCTGAAGGTACCTCACAGTATAGAGTCTGGGTTTTTCTGTTTGTTTGTGGTAGGCTCTCTCTCAAAAACCAGAGGCTTTCCTCAAGTGCCTGGTGATCCTTGGCCAGAAGCCAGCCATTGGGCCTCTGTACGAGGTCGCTGCTGCCCAACTGCCGGTGTTTGAGGAGTCAACGTGAGAAGGAGCTGGGGGGGTCTCTTCGTATGCAGATTCTCCCTTAACTCCCAGTTTCTAGAGCAACCCTTCTCTATTCTCCAGCCTCTCGGGTCCAAGGTTCCAGAATAACCTCCAGCCAGGGGCAGGGGATGGATGCCCCAGAGATGTCCATCCTGCTGCCTTGTGGAGGGCATCTGGGGAGCTTTCCACCTGTCCTCCTATTTCTGCCCCTACCCCGTCCTGCACCCAGCTTCTAGGGCACTTTCTGCACCCACCTCTGAGCCTGCAGAGTTCTGTGATAGGCGCCGTGTCTATACCATCCTCTGCAGCCTCCTGCTCTTTCCAAGTGTTTGGGTTTCAACTTTCTGCACTGAGACAGTTACCCCTGTCCATCTGCCTTCTGTTGTCCAGAATTTTGTTAGAACCCCTCATCTGCTATCTTCTTTCTCTTTGTCTCTGTGGGTTGGTAGGTTTAAAAACGTTATTGCCATTTTCGTTGGATTTTGAAAAGCAGAGATGAAGTTTTCAGTCTAGGTGTAAATAAAAGTTATACATCCACCCAATCATCTAACAGACTCTTGCTGAACAACCGAAGGTCGGGTCCGTAGGCTTCAAAAATGTCTGAGAACCACCTCTGCCCCCCCCAAAACCTGAGAACCAGGTGGGGTGAAGTAGGGGATGGGAGTAGGGGCCCAGCATTTTCACTCCCTCAACTGATGACTTTTCCTCTCCCCTGGAGAATGGTCTCCCCCTTGAGGTTCATCTTGGTAGAGCAGCCTTGATGGAAGCTTCCAAGGGACTTTTTATTTTATTTATTTATTATTTATTATTTATTTATTTAAAGATTTTGTTTATTTGACAGAGAGAGACACAGCGGGAGAGGGAGACACAAGTGGCGGGGGGCGGGGTGGGAGAGGGAGAAGCAGGCTCCCCGCTGAGCAGGAAGCCTGATGCAGGGCTCGATCCCAGGACCCTGAGATCATGACCTGAGCCGAAGGCAGATGCTTGACGACTGAGCCACCCAGGCACCCCCCCAAGGGACTTTTTAAAAGAAGCTGGCCCAGGTCCCACATGGGTGCGGGCAGGATAGTTCCAGAAGGCAAAGACCGGGTGCTCAGAGCTCTGATCTGTTTCTGTGGAGGTGGAGAGTGGGGGACAGGCAGCCTTGGAGGGGGATCAGTCAGGCCTGGGATGGCTGCCCCTCCCATCTCTTCCCAGCCCAGCTTCTGCCTCCACACACCTGCCCCATGCGCTCCTTCTCCTTGGCACCGTTCAGCCAGGTGGATCCTCTCACGCTGCTCTGGCATCTGCCCCAGGAGGGATTCCTGCAGTTACAAACCAGCCTGGGGAAGCCACAGGGCCTCCCTCTGATGTGCCACCACATCAGCTGCCCTCTGCCCCGCCATACCTCTCTTGTGTGGTCACCTCTCCTTGGAGGCCCCGGTGTGGACCCCAGCCCTCCTGACTTGGCATCCATGTCTGGGAGAAGAATGGAGAACGGGACTGAGAAAAGCACCAGAAGGGGGAGACACTGGGCTCTGGAATGGGGAAGCTGGCGGATTTCATTCCCACCCTGGGTCCGAGAAAAGGGATGGGGGGCCCACATCCAAATGTACTGAGACCCCTGTCACTAGAATTGTCCATGCAGAAGGGCCACGGGGAAGATTCTGGAGTCGGGACTGGAGGGCCCCCCTCCACCTCCACACGGGGCCTTCCTCAGAGATTTAAAGGCTTAGCCTAAAAGCATGGTATTGAGGTGGAAAACTTTGGTTTGCCACTTTGAATTTCTTTGAACCTCAGAATGATTTTTCTGTCCCCATTTCCTCTGTGTCACGTGGAAATAATCCCACCCCACAGGGCCATTGTAAGCCTCTTCTGCAAGCTTAGCATGGTGCCCTGAACACAGGAGATGTTGGATGGCAGATCCATCCTACTCTAGCCTTCTTTAATTCTTCCTTCAATCAAGCCCACGCGCATGCACTCACTCGCATTTTACTGTGCTCAAGCCCCTGTCAGCCAGGCGTTACCCTCAGAAAGGTAACTGAAGAGTGTTTAATGAGGGGAGTGTTTGCAGAAAAGGGGGTATCGCTGAGGGACTGGTGACGTGCCCAGAGAGCGGCCACAGAGGGCAGCCCATCTTGCTTCCAAGCCTGAGTGGTAAAGGGAGGTGGCTTTGCCACAGGAGCCCAGGGAGAGTTTTCCTAGGAGCTGTGGTTGAAGGTAGAAGAAACCAGTGAGGGCCCCAACTGGCACCCAGTAGGGAGGGCAGGGAACAGGTACCCAGCCTTCTCTCTCCTACTCCCAGCCAGTCTCCTTCCACTGCTTTCCAGTGGATGAACCGCTGGGAGCCAGAGGGCAGGGGAGCCCGAGTGATCCAGTCCGCAGAGGTCAGCCTCCTGGAACTCAGGGCACACAGAGAAGGCTGGAGAATGAGTGGGGAGGGGGCCAACAGGATAACCAGCAACACGACCGTGTGGAATCCCTGGTACTAGGTACAGTTTGGGTATAAGAGGTGAATAACACAGTGGCCTCTACCCCGAGTTCCTGAGGACAGGCTGACAATACACAGCTGCTTATAATGCAAGAAATAAATGAACACTATGTATGTTATCGTAGAAGTGTGGACGTTGTCATAGATGTGAAGGTGACCCCTGTGACTTCCATCTCCTGCTGTTCCTGCCTTGGCACAGTCCTCTTCCTCTGAGGCTGAGGGAGACCCGTGACTCAGCCTCACCCACAGAATGTGGCAAAGGTAACAGGATGGCATTGCCTTGCTTAGTGACCCTATAAGCTTCCATTGTAGCGGATTGGAGAGAGATTCTCCTTGCTGGCTTGATGAAATAAGCAGCCACATTGAGGAGCCCCTGTAACAAGGAACTTTGGACAGCTTCTAGAAACTGTGGGCAGCCTCTAGGACCCAAGAGTGGCCTCCAGACAGGATCTAGCAAGAAGCCAGGGCCCTCAATCCGATAGCCAGGAAATGAATTCTCCCAACCACCTAAAGGAGGTGGATGTGGATTCTTCCCCAGTCAAGCCTCCAGATGCACACGCGGCCCAGATGACACCTTGATCACAGCCCTTTGAGACGTGGGGCAGAGGACCCAGGGAAGCTATGCCCAGACTCCTGGCCCACAGCAACTGCGGAATAATGAAGGTGTAGAGTTGGCAGCTACTGACTGTGGTAATGGTTAAGCAGCGTAGGAAGCTAATATAACACAGAAGCAAACAGTGTGCTGAGGCAAGAAATATGAATCCTCCCGAGATTCGGAAGGGCTCACAGAGGAGGGTGTGTTTGTGCTCACACAAGAAGTGGGGGGGAGGATGTAAATAGGGAGCAATGGAAAGATGAGCTGTCACCTCATCTTCGAGCCCTTCAGCCCAAACCCCGAAGCCGAGAGGACTCCAAGGACAAGGATGTTAGCCTGGGCCCCGGGTTCACTGGAGGAGTGCCCCCCACCCCGGCCCCATATCCAAGACACTCGCCAGACAGCTTAATGGAAGCAGGCAGGCCCCAGCCCCTCCCACCCTGGCCCAGTGCGCCCTGTGTTCATCACTTTAGGCAGAGGAGAGGCAAAGCAGTCTTATTTGGTTTCTTTTTCAAAAATAGCAGTCCTCTGTTCTTGTGAGAAATATGTGTTCATTATAAACCACTTAAAAAATACAGATAATTTTTCAAAAGCCAAGATTAAAATTTCACTGGTGATGTCATGACCCAGATTTGAGCCTTGTTCACGTTTTGGCTGCTTCCTTCTAGTTACAGTTCTCATGAACACAACAGTGTTGTGTGGCAGGGACAACCCTCATCCCAGGCGGGCCCCTAGGCTTAGCCTGGGAATATTCCAGGACGAGCAGTAGCAGCTCACCATGCACCTGTATGCTGGCACCCTCACTCACACACACACACACACACACACACACACATTCCCCAGGCCACTAGGCACACACTCAATGTCCCCCATCCCCATGCCCCTGGGAGGGGATGGAATCAAGTGTGGATCAAATGGAAGGTTGAATTCAGGCCTCCTGGGATGGGTCTCTGGGGATGTGAGAGTGTGGCCAGGAGAGGACCAGTGAGTGTGTGTGTACATGGCTGTGTGTACCTGTATAGTGTTATGTAGGAGGAGATTTCCCCTAGCTGCTCGGGACTCGTCTTGGATGTCCACAAACTCTGCATCAGTCAGGTGTTCTTATATATTAACTATCCATGGTGTGACCGGAACCCTTTAAATTGTGCTGGCCAGGTGCAGTGCACAGCCTGGATAACTGTACACAGCAGCCCTGTCAGGAGCCCACACTTGGCCCAGCTATGGAAAAGGAAACAGCTCTATCTCATATGTACCTCAATTCTATGTCTGAGGGCAGGAACCAAAAACATTGAGAACCCACTCAAAGCAGGAGAGGGGAATGGAGGTAACAGGATCAGAACAGTCACTGGCTGACTGGCTGGCCACCCATTCTGTCCTGGTAAGAAGGGATAAGGAGATTGCAAAATGGGTAAGAAAATCCTCTCACCTATCAGCTCAAGGCCATAATCCTGGGCCTCTGCTTCCCTAAGCTTTGTTCTATTTTCACTCCTCTTTCCTAGGAGCAGTCCCCATTGGCTGCAAGGGTTTAGTGGGGACTTAACGCCGGTTCTCTGGCATCTCCTGGATTTGGTCGTGGGCTCGCGCAGCCCCCCATTACCTTCGTCCCTCTGCTCACCACCTCCTGACATTTCCCTGCGCTGATTCATCAGACCCTCTTTGCTCAGCTTGGGAGGTCTCTGGCCTGTGAGCGAGGAGGGCCCAGGGTTAGAAAGCCAAGCCGCCCTGGGCCAGGGACCGCGGGGAACAGGACCCGTCCACCTCGGGCACCGCCCCGCGCAGCCTGGGAGATGGGCAATGTGATGGACGGGAAGTCGGTGGAGGAGCTGAGCAGCACCGAGTGCCACCAGTGGTACAAGAAGTTCATGACCGAGTGCCCCTCCGGCCAGCTCACCCTCTACGAGTTCCGTCAGTTCTTCGGCCTCAAGAACCTGAGCCCGTCCGCCAGCCAGTATGTGGAGCAGATGTTTGAGACCTTTGACTTCAACAAAGTGAGCAGAGGCCTGGGTGGGGGGCGCTGGAGGCCCGGCCAGTGCAGGGCTGGGGGGCGCAGGTGCCAGAACATGGCGTCTACCAGAGGAGGGGGTGTGCTTCTCTGTGTCTCTGGGGCTACATTAGGGAGTCAACTGATCTCATGTTCATTGAGCACCTACAGAGTCAGGCATTGGGGGTTCAGAAACAAACCAGGCCCCAACTGCACCCTCACCTTCCAGGGGAAGACAGAGGGGTCCATAGGTTAGTGTGCCCACAGACCCAATCTAATGGCTTCCTCTGCCTCGTCCACACACATGTCTCGGTTTACTCCAAAACATGTGTGAACACTTAGAAGACAGTCGTCGAGCACCTACTAAGTGCTGGGTGCTATGCCTGGAGCTTTTGCCCAGGCCCTTAGAGGCTCACAGGGTACAGGAGGAGAGGGAGTGGAGAGGAGAGAGCAGGGTGATAAGCCTCTGGCCCCGGCTGGCCTGGCTCAGGCAGGCCCATGTTACGTGGGTCGTCCCTGATGCTCTGTGGTCACCCTTGATGCTCTGGGGACAGGCCAGGCTGCCTGGTCGCTGGGACCTCTAGGCTACTCCCGACTCCAAAGTGCCGAAAAACCTCAGCTCACCTTCTCTCAAGTGGGTCTGAATGAAGGTCTGCACGGTGGTCAAATGGTACTCTCCCTGAGTCATCACTGGGACACAGGGTGAGGACTTCCTGATCAGCTAGAGGGGTACCGGGGCAGGGGCTAGGCACAGTGAGTTAGGGCCCTTAGTTTTCATCTCCCCCCCAACCATCCTCAGCTCAGTACCCGCATCTGCCATGGAGGTTGAGAGCATGAGTCAAGATGTTTGTTGGTTTCAAGAGCAAATCTTCCATTTATTTGGAGCAATTCAGTCAAGATGCAGTGGCAGAAGGACCCAAATCTCCAAACCTGTCTCCCTACCCCATTGGGCCCTACCCAGGATGTGATGATGCTCTACCATGCATCCACTTCAAGCTGGGGACAGGCTGCCCAGAGCTTTCTCGGCCCCCTTCACTACCCAGAGGGTCCAAACACCACTGTGGGCAGGGCTTCTAAGGACAGCTGGGGCTCAGAAGCTATTTAAAACTCACTAATATTTAGGGTCAAGGGGCCAAAGCAGATTATGGGCTTTGAGTCCCAACCTCAAGGGCAGCATTCTGGTGCCCAGTGGCTTTCCTTGGGTGGGGGGGTTGCTGGGGAGCAGAGTACTGGCGCCCACGGCATGGAGACCAGAAGGGATGGCATCAGCATGCTGGGCCCCCCAAGTGCTCCACAGGAAGGAATAATTCCTGAACAGCAGGGAGGAAAGTAATGGTTGAGCCTCAATGCCTTATACCCAAACACGCAGCTTCTCACCTGCTAAGGAAACCCTTGGGATCAAGACACATCTCCAGAAGGACCCCTAAAATCACATGTATGACAGCAGGGAGGGACAACCCACAAACCCTGTATTTGCAAGCATCACCTCCACTGCCCCAAACTTCCTTGATTACACCATGCACACCTTCGCCTTATGGCCTTTGTGATGCTTGGGACCCTCTTCCTCCAGAATTCTGCTTGGCTCACACCTTCCCCGGATACAAGTCTCTGCCCCAAATTCTCCTTCCCGCTGACACCTGCACTGATTTCCTGGTTGAAACCCTGTTTAACTGGAGCTAGCCCCTGCCCCTGAATTTCCTGTCCTACCTTCTTCCAACCAGAGCACGTCTCATCTTCCAAGACGTGCTGAGTTACACTTAGCCACTATGTTTGTTGTCTGTCTCCCCCGCTGGAATGTGAGCTCCACGAGGACAGAGATTTTTGTCTGTCTGGTTCAGTGCTTTATCCCCAGGACCTAGAACGATGCCTGGACTACGGTAGGTGCTTAACAAGTATTTGTTATATGAGAAATCATGAGTTCTATGGGCGAATTCTGTGTTTTATAATGCACATTAATTCAAATACATAATTACTACAATGAAGAGTATCTTTGTAACATCTAAAAGGCCTCACGTACACCAACGGTAGTGCCAACTCCCTTTGGGCAATATTGCCTTCTTCCCATTGTCCCGAGCAGAGAGCAGCTCAGCAGATTGGCAGAGAGATGGGACACCGCAGCCAGAAGTTAAGCGGGGCTGTGCAAACGATGGCCCGTGGGCCCATTTTTATGAATGAAGCTTTATTAGAACACACCATGCCCACTTGTTTGCACATCACCCAAACAGAAATACTTGCTATCTGGCCCTTTTCAGAAAACATTCGCCAGCCCACCCCTGAGTTAGCAGACAGTTGCATCCTGGTGGACTGTGCCGGGAGGGCAGGGTTGGGGGTGCAGCAGTGTGATCGGGGAGTGTGCCCCAGGGGATAAGCACGTACTTTGCTTACTTCAAAGTTTTGCCTGGGCTTGGCCGTGCCCGGCACTCACACAGGTGCACACAAATCGATGTAAATCTTCAGCCCTGCCTCTGAGCTCCGGGTAGGATTTGGGCCACCTAGTTTCTAGCCACGGCTTGCTCATTCATTGGTTACGGGGTCTAACTCCTCTCAGCTTCAGCTTTCATCTGAAAATGGGGATGAAAAATCCCCCCTCCCAGGGCGTGAGATTAAATGAGGAAAGCAAATAACACACTCAGCAGGAGACACTAGAAAGAAGTTAGTATTGCTGTGTATCCTTACTGAATTTCACCCAAACCACAGTCTTGAAAAGCAGGCACTATCATTCCCGGTGTCCAGCTGAGGGACCGAGCCTCAGAGAGGCTGACTTGTCCAAGGCCACATTCTCCTAAGACGTCAAGTAGCTCTTTCTGGCACAAAAGCCCATACTTTTCCATTGCCCCCTTTTAGCCATTTAAAAAAAAAAAGTCATGAAAGTAATTTTGAACAGCTCACTGGAAACATTCCCCGCAATAGAGAGAGATAAAAAATGAAAAACGAGCATTCTCTGAGCATTGTGGCACGGGGGGCTTTGCTCTGTTCTGAGGACAACCCCGGGCAGAGGTCGGACAAGGATCAAATGAGCTAAGGTGTATGTGAAAGCCTCTGAGCACAGGGAAGCACCACACAAATGTTCAGTATGATACGACACCCGTTGTGGGGCTCTGGCTCATCGAGGCCTCACCTGAGGCCTAGGGTGGGCACAGAGCCAGATCTCAGAGGCCATCCTGCCCAGCCTCTGTCGCATCTTTAATGACAGTGCTCCAGCCTCTGCTTGTATGCTTTCAGTGACAGGGAGCTCATTACTTCATGAGGCTGGTCCGTCCGCCAGCGGCAAATCTGCCCATTAGAGGTCTTCCTTCTGACCCCAAACATGCCTCTGGGTAACTTCCCGGTTCTGGAGCCGGGGTTGTGAGTAAGTGGAGGAACAGGGGCTGGACTCCAAGTTCACACGCTCTGAGTCCAGTGCTCCTTACTTTAGAGTGGCTCAACTTTTCTGCAAAACACAGGCTTCCCTCCTCCAGCCTCACTCGGCGTGGGGGCGAGATGGGCAAAGGCAGGCCTATGTTCCCCACTTCCCTGACCCCACTGGTGGGGCTGGCAGGGGCAGACAGCGGGTCAGCCTGTGAAATTTGGGGGACCCTGGAGAAATACCCCCTAAGCATGTCTTGTGCCACCCTGTCACATGGTCAATCCCTCCCAGACTCAAGAGGCCAGCACCTTTCCCAGGAAGCCTCCCTGAACCTCTCCTCTGGCCTCTGTCCTGGCAGAGTTGTGCGATCTTGTTCTGTGATTCCATAATGTCCTGTCCAGATGTGCTATCACTGCATTACATCGTGATGGCATAGTGATCTCTCTCTCTCTCTCTCTCTTTTTTTTAAGGCTTTTATTTTATTTATTTGACAGAGAGAGACATACCCCAAGTAGGCAGAGCTGCAGGCAGAGGAGAGGGAGAAGCAGGCTCCTGGCTGAGCAGGGAGCCCGATGCGGGGCTCGATCCCAGGACCCCAGGATCATGGCCTGAGCTGAAGGTAGACGCTTAACGACTGAGCCAGCCAGGCGCCCTAGTGATCTCTTTATAGAAACGATCATAGTCAGTGTAGTAACAGTAAGAGCTAACATTTCCTCAGTGTTTACCAGATGTCAGGCAGTGTTGAGTGCTTTAGGTACATAAACTCACTTAATCCCACCACAATCCCACAGAGGTAGGTACTATTATAACTGTTATAGATGAGGAAATCGAGGGCCAGAGACATTGAGTCCTTTGTCCCAGATCCCACAGCTTTGAGAGGGTGAAGGCAGGATTCAACCCTGCACCCCACCACTGCACTCCCATCAGGTCGGGGCTCATATCTTACTGAGTCCTGAAGCCTCAGTCTATCCCCGAGCGAAGAAGTTCGTAAAAGTTCAGTAGAAAGGTCAGTAAAAGTTCGGTAAAGTTCGAAGAATAACGGGAAGAATAAGACAGGTGTTCCTTCCTCCCTTTCTACCCCCTGCCCTCTCCCCAGCTCGAAAAACCACGCCTTTACCCAGGGGTTCCGTTCCTTTTCCTCCACCTACACACACCTTCTTGCAACTGGAAGGGCTCCAGCTGGAGAATCACATGGGAGAAGCCAGTGACCGTTAGCACCAAAATGCCAGTGAAGAGAGAACATACCCTGGGAGCGGGGGGGTTGGTTCACCAGAGGTGCCGGCAGCCTCTGGGGCAGGCCAGGCGGGCTGCCTGGAGGCGGGGACAGAAGCGGAGGGATCCCGGCAGGAAGAGTGCGGGGCTTGGCTCAGCCTCTCCTGGGGCCTCCGGGGAGCGGGCTCAAGGCTCAGCCTCTCCTGGGGCCTCCGGGGAGCGGGCTCAAGGCGGTTGCGCCTCTCGCCCAGGACGGCTACATCGATTTCATGGAGTACGTGGCTGCGCTCAGCCTGGTCCTCAAAGGGAAGGTAGAACAGAAGCTGCGCTGGTATTTCAAGCTCTACGACGTCGATGGCAACGGATGCATCGACCGCGACGAGCTGCTCACCATCATCCGGGTAACTCCAGGTGCCGAGGGCCGGGCCGGGGTGGGGGCGGCGGCCCAGGAGGACCCGGAGCTGACAGCCCGAGGGCGGGCGGGGTGGCTCTTCAGCCGGCAGAACTGCAGTGTCACAAGGGGACACGATTGGGACTGAGGGTCCGGCGCGGGGCGGGGGGGGGGGGCAGCTGCTTGAACCGGGCCACGGGCCGTCCACTCTCCGGGCCTCCGTTTTTCCATCTGTACCGAGACAAGCCCTTAAACCCCAGCGCGGCCTCTAGTGCCCAGTCTGTTGCTCGGGCACCACTGAGGCCGAGCTAGGATGGGTCCTTCACTTCCCCCCAGGCCATCCGGGCCATTAACCCCTGCAGCGACTCGACCATGAGTGCCGAAGAGTTCACCAATACAGTGTTCTCCAAGATTGATGTCAATGGGGACGGTGAGGAGGGCGGGGCGGGTGAGGAGGGCGGGGCAGGGGCCGCCCGGGGAGAGGGGCAGGGGCGGGGGGGGGGGGCAGGTAAAGAGGGGCCTCTGCTGGCCACATCCTCGATCCACAAGAGCTGGATTTTAGGGACCCCTGGACCAGACTTTGGGCCCTGGTTCCTTTGCCTGCTCCCCCCACAGCCTCACTTGCCCCAGCGTTCGCTCTGTCCCCTTTGCAAGACCCCGGCTCTGGGCCCCAGTACAATGCTCCCGGGGAGACAGGGGCACGCACCCTCCTCCCCTGACCCCCTTTCTCTCTGCTCCAGGGGAACTCTCCCTGGAGGAGTTCATCGAGGGCGTCCAGAAGGACCAGATGCTCCTGGACACGCTGACACGGAGCCTGGACCTCACCCGCATCGTGCGCAGGCTCCAGAACGGCGAGCAAGAGGAGGGTGGGGAGGGGGCCGGCGGCAGGGGGACTGAGGCGACCAGCTGAGCCCACCCGGGCTGCTTCTGTACTGGGGAGGGGATGTGTGTTGGTGCCTGGGGTCCTCATTGTAACACTAGGTGCAGTCGACTGAACTCAAAGGCTCCGCTTGCCTCTTTGGGGTGCAGGGCCGGGGCGGAAGGGCGGGGGTGGGCGTACAGAGGACGGTTCCTGAACCCTGTGCATGACTCAGCAGGTGGTGACTGCCTCCTGCTGGGGGGCCCTCAGGGCCCTCCGCCAGCTTTTCCCACTGAGCTGCTCCAGTCCCACTCTTTCCCAGGTCAGGGAGCTCCGCGGCACGGCTGGGCTTTCACGGACTCCGATGGAATCCTACAGCTCGGGTGCTGCCATCACACACCCGACCTGCACCCCAGCATGATGAGCCTACTTGTGTGGTGCGTTGATTTGTTCCTCCCTCTCAGAAGCATTTATTGCACACCTCCTTCGTATGAACGCAGGATATTGGACACGCCAAGAAGAGGATAGATCTCATCCCTAAGGAACTAACCCGCTAAGCATCATTATAATAAAATATGGGAAGAGAAGCTATGATACTATAGAAAGTCCTCATTTATCCAGAGGAAATCCGTCTTTATTCAGAAGTGACGGCACAGCACCCTGACTTTCCCTACTGGCCCTGCAGTGGCCTGTGGTGCCCTGGGGTTTCCCACAGCTCTGCGACTCATTGCCTGTGGCAAGTGTCCTGACCATCCATCCCTGGTCTAACCTAAATCCCTCTTGCTGCAGTGACACCTGACACCAGTTGGGAAGTGGGCCAGGCTGTTACAGGTGGGCCCCATTCCCATTCTTTGCACACGCCAGCTTTAGGAAGACCTGGGAACTTGGGGAGAGACACAGGCTGGAGCAGTTGTGATCATTTTTGCAAAGATGCTTCTTCTTCCAGGCGTTGAGTCTTCACTTCAGCTGGGTGTGGGGGAAGGACAAGGAGTGAATAAAAATATAAGGGGAGGAGAGAGAAAACAAGGGGCAAGAGGAGTGAAGCCCCCATCCCCGGGGGGGGGGGAGCGGGAAAAGAGGGTCCTACCGATCACCGGGACCACCCCAGCCTGGGAAGTCAGCCAGGGCCTGAGCACAGACCTGGCAGGAAGGTGGAGATCAATGTCAGGGGCAGCCTGGGACAAAAGGGAATTGACATTTCTGCGCCTTCTCTTGGTGGCTGCCTCTTGGGAAATCCTGAAGGTAGGGAGGTGGGATGGTATTTGAACAGAGTTAGGACATTTCCCCAATGTCAAGCACACACCACCTTCCTGACTTGGGGGCGGATCTGTGTCCCACATGGATTACTAGTCTTTTTAAATTGACCGTTTTTTACCTAAAATTTATTTCTAAAGGAAACTTTAGAGGAATATCATGCCTGTGAAATTGCAGTTCAGCAGGTGAGTTTTATTTTTCATCCATCACCATAAAGACACCTCTTCGAACGACTCCCTTTATTTAAATCTAGTTTGTACACTGGGGCTGCACATAGAGTTTGTATGACAAAATAATTCCACATCTAAAAAAATAATAATCAGAAAACCCCTTGCTTTCTCCAACTTGCTCAGTGCGCAGGGAAGATAACTGAAGTTAGGAAGAGAGAAATGGCCACCTTGGGTCACATAGCAGCTGGAGGCAAAGCCGGGCCTCGAACCAATTCTCCCTGGAGACAGAGAGAGGTTTCCCCATCCTTCAAGGAGACTCCTCTAGCTTGTGGCTGGGAATCGGGCAGGTCCATGGTGGGGGTGGGGGGGGTGGGGGGGGGGGTTGGAGAGCCCGGTGTGGGATGAGGGGTAGGGAGGGGGAGAGAGGGTTGTGTGGGGGTGTGGGTTAGCAGCAGGGGCTGGGGGAGCAGCACGAGGGCAGAGCTGAAACAGCTCCTTTAAGCACAGCCAAGGGCCAGAAGACCAGAGCCTTACTGGCTGTAATTTTCCCTTGCGGACACCCCTGGTGAAGACAAGTTGGGGAGGGGGAGGCAAGACTCCTCCCCATGAACTCTTCAGGATCCTGGGAGGATGTAATTATGATCACACTCACCCCCCAACTTCTATTTTTTTCTTCAGACTTGACACCTTCCAGCCCCTGGCCTTCAGAGTGTGTGGGCAGTCTCATTGCTAATTTGGTCTATGGGACCCCCCCATCCCTCAGTATTCCCCTGCTTCCAGCTAAGAACCAGGTAGGAAATTGTGGATGCCCCAGAACCACCCAGCCGAAGCATACTTTTCCCAGAAGCAGCTGAAAGGAGAGAGGAAGCCGGTTCTCTTCACCACCCCAGTAAATCCTCCCAGTGGACTGTGTCCTGTTGGCCACTTGAGACCAACAGCCCCGATCCACCCCCCTCAGCCCCAACCCCTTTCATAGGGGGTGCCAGAGAAGAGTGGGCACAAGCAGGCTGAGCCAGGGACCCTCTCACTATTCTGGAAACCTGGAGAGCCTGGAGTCTTGGAGGGGCCTGTGGACTCGAACTGGGCTCCCAGGACCCCAGACCCCTCAGAACATGGCACTTTTCCGCCTCTGCTGAGAGATCCAGGCACAGGGATTCACGTCCAACTGCAGCATCTTCATCACCCACTTATCACGACGGGCACCTTCGATGAGCTCATTCAGAGACAGCTGGCCTGAGCAAGGGGTAGGAGCAATGGTCACGTGGGAGCATGGAGACACGGGGCTGGGGGCGAGAGGAGAGGCCTCCCCTCCCAGGGGACATCCTCTTAGACAAGCCTACGCGTCTTACACAAAGGAGCCTGCAGTCCCGGGGCCCAAGCCTCGGGGCTGGTCAATTCTCCCCGTTCTCCAGGAGTCTCCTGGAGGCTTCAAGAGTTTCTTAAAGGGACTTGCTTTGTAAATGAATTTAAGTTTACTTTGGCCCATGGTACCTTCAAAATGTTCCTGGGGGCTCTTCTGTGTGTGTTCCCAGCCAGCTCCCTCCCTCCTCAGCTTTGGGGCTGCTGCGCCAAGCTTGAGGGCAGAGGGCCTCATTAGCCTGAATGGGGGCCTACCCTATGCCCGTCTCTCCAATACCTCACTCCATTGATTTCTCGGAATTACTATTATACCTTTTTCCAGATGAGGAAACTGAGTCCAGGCGGAGCGGTGAAATGGTTTGCCTGACTCTAACGCTCCTACTCTTTGCGCTTCCCTGGCCTCCATCGGCAGCTCCAGTGGGAGCTTAACTCGCTCTTGCCAACATCATGGGCCAGCGACACCCCTGTTAGGTTATGTCCTCCTCTCTGCCCCCAGAGCCCAGCTGAGGAGAGCAGTGGCTGGGAGGTGGAGGGCCTGGGGGTGCTGTGGAGTGGGCCGCCCCCCATCGCTGCCCCCCATTACCATCTCCGTTCTCATCCACCAGAAGGAAGATCCTGTCCACCACCTCCTCGGGTGTGAGCAGCTCTCCATGCTGCTCAGAATCCATCTCCACCCTGCAGGCTTTCTTCAGTCTGTAGATGGCCTGCGGGACAAAACCCGAGCTACGGCCCTCAGCGAGAGCTTGCGCACTCCCTCCCTCTTCCCTCTGCCAGGACCCCAGGCCCTCACCCTGCATCCCCAGCACTGCCTCCCACCCCAACAGCTGGTGCATCTTAGGACCACAGGACCCAGACCCTAATAAAAAGTGACCCGTCCTAGGGCTGTTCTCTCAGGGTCCAACTGCGTGTCAGGCCTCACAGGCCACCCCCACCCTGATGCTAGCTAGTGGCTTTTCCCCTGTGAGCGTCAGAGTGAGCCCCAAACCCTTCAGTGAGGGAGGTACCCGGCTCTGTGGTGGTCTCAACTCCACTTTAGGCGGTGAGAGATGGAGATCCAGAGAGGAGAAGAGCATGAAGTGTACTTATGAGCGTATGTGTAACATCGGATGATGGGAGATACCGGGGTTTGGACTGGAGGGAAAAACAGGTTTCTCCTTTGCCCTGTGTCCCCTCCCTGTGAGGCACTGTTGGTGAAGGGAAGTGGGGAAGAGACAGAGAACTGTGAGGGTTTTCCTTAGTTTCTCGACGGGGCGCTCTGCGGACAGAGGCCTGTCTTGTCAATCCCAGGGCGTCACGGCCAACGCGGTGCCTGGGACACAGTGGGCCCCACCGACAGGGTCTGGGAGCCCCGGAGGTACAGCCAGCCCTGGCACCTCCTGGGATGGATAAACTTGGGCAGACCATAGAACTGCCCCGAGGCGACTTCTTTATCTGTGGCCTGGGTGGACAGCCCCCACTTGGGAGTACGGTTCTGGGGAGGAACAGGCTGACGCGGGTCAGGTGCAGTCTGAGCTATACTGGGGACATTTTCCTCCTTGCTCATTCTTGCTAATCGTCTATCAGCGTGGTTAGTCCTGCAAAGAACCAGCTTTCGGTTTTGTTGACTTTTCTTCTCTGTGCGCTTGTTTTCTACTTCATTAATTTCTGCTCTTTAGTATTTCCCTTTTTCTACCCTCTGGGTTTAATTTACTCTTTTTTTTTTTTTTAAGATTTTGTTTATTCATTTGTCAGAGAGAGAGAGAGCACGAGCAGGGCGAGGGGCGGGGAGGGGGGAGAAGAAGACTCCCCACCGAGCAGGGAGCCAGACTCGGGGCTGGATCCCAGGACCCCGCGATCATGACCTGAGCCGAAGGCAGGCGCTTAACCGCTTAACGACTGAGCACCCAGGCGCCCCTGTTTTTTTGTAATTTTTTGAGATGACTTCTAAGATCATTGATCTTCAGTCTCTTATTTTCTAGCATATACATTTTAGGGCTAAAAAGCCTCTGCCAGCCCAGCGTTGATTACATTCCCCTGTTTTGTTATGTTACGTGTGCATTAATGCCCAGTTTAAAATACTTGGTGCGCCTCTGTGTGGTATAATTTCTATGATGTCTGGAATATTTAGCAGTGTGTTGCCTTATTTCCAAACCGATGGGGATTTTTAAGGTATCTTTTTGTAATCGCTTTCTAGCCTAAATCTGACTGGGGTCGGAAAGCACTCTCTGAATGATTCCAATGCTGCCCCCAGCCGTAGGGGTCCCCCGGCAGCTGCTCACCCCCACGATGTCCAACAGCTCCAGGCGGTCGATGCAGCCATTGCGGTCCTTGTCGTAGA